TCACCAATCATTGCACGAACGCTGTCTAATTTACTAAGCTGTAATGCAATTTCTCATGCTTTGGTTTAGGTGCTTTCTTCCATCTACTTTCGCCTTGGTGGTCTAACATTCCCATTAGTTTTCCCTGTAGAGCCAACGCTCATCAGTTCGCTTCATCTGCTCCATTCTCCAGGCCCACACCAAGAAAAATAATGGAAACTCATTGTTTGGTAATTACTCGATTAAATATGCCAGTGAATTCTCTGAAAGTATCTTAATTTATTACTTCAAATTGCCTCAGACAAATTCAACACTGGAGAATAAAACTCAGAATGTTTGTTGGAAAAATCGGGGAAATGATTAGACGGCACAAAGTTTCTCATAGCTCTCTTTTTTGAGTTTTGTGCCTAAGAGACAAACACTTCAACTTTTTACTAGGCGTCTTCTAGTAAAAAGGACGCGTATTGCCAGACTGTTATGTTTGGCGTTCATAAAACAGTCAAGTGAGCAACAACTAAAACGTACAAATGATCCAACTAGTTTAGTTATGTCCCAACATCAGCCTACTTTCAATGCTTTACAAGTCTAAAATTCAGCTTGAAGAACTGCTCATTAATTTTCCATATTAAACTGTAGTTTCAAAGCTGCTGATGCTCCATCATAAAGATCCAGATTCTCTTGAAATATTGATAGAAATCATAGATCACATCTCTGCTGTTTCAGTTGTTGATACTTTTCTAAAGCCAGAATACGCCATGTTTCCTAATTGTCTTGTGAATTTTGAGCAAACTTTTTGTTGGGGAAATTATATATATTTATCAGACATTTGATCAAATATTATTTATTCTGAATTGCTTTAACTATGTTTCTGAGTGTGTTTTAAGGAGGCCTCACTGAAGGGAGCAGTCGACATGAATGTTTTGAGTTACAGCTGGTTTCAGCAGATAACTGCTCGGCAAGAAGCTCCTGTGCCCTTGACACAAAGATGATTTGAAACTGTACAACTTGTATTTATTTTATTGTACCTGGACAAGGGGTTCCAGAAGATATGCTGTGTAATTCTGAATCATGTTGCAGCTATGTTACCTTTTTCCCTTCCTTAGAGCTGCAACGTGCATGTAACGAGGGAACACCCCAAAGCAAATAAAAAGAGAGGGTACAGCAGGCTGTGTTTCTAAGCGGTAGGAGATTGTAACTGAAACACATCTGTCGGTTCTCCTCGCGAGTAAAAAGAATATAAAAGTTTCCAGCTCTGTTGAAGTAACTGCTGTGAATTAAAACAATTTGAACTCGCTTTGCTGCTGGGCCTCTGGAGGGAGGACCCTCAGTTCTGCTAATACAGTCAAAAGCAAGGGCAAAAATAATGCACTGTGAAAGTAAAGGTGCAAATGAAGATATGAATTATCATCCAACATCCACCAACCACATTCTGTCCTCAATGGGAAACATAACAGCTTCATCCTGCTCACATGTCGTTAGGTTCAAAAGTATATCAGTTTACTTTTGAACAGAAGGTCACTAAACGTCACCATCGTCAGGTGAAATGAATCAGCCGTTGGACTCAATCTGATGTTCAATCCAAACCAGACTAGTCAGCAGCAATTAGCAAACACCTGGAGAAACTAATTATAGGAGTTAGTTCTCAGAGAAACGCTGGTAAAAAAGTTGTTAAAGGCTTAATAGAGGAGCCATGTTGTGATGACTTACTGCCCCTTTAATAAATCTGAAACAGTCACAAACATTTGAGTGGAAAATTTTTGAGGAAAGACATCAAGTTAATGCAATTTGAAATAAGGCTGTGACGTAAAATGTGAAAAAAGTGAAGCGCTCTGAAGATTTTCCAAATGGACTCAAACGTTAAATCAGCTCCTAACTCTTTGTTCTCTCTTCATCGATGTTGTTTTCCTCACATCTGTAAACAAACAAAACAGAGGCATTTACGTCCAGCTGTTCCAGAACAGTGCAGGAAACACAGAGATGAAACGCTTTCACTCCAACAAACGAGCTTTCAGAACGTAAACGAGCAACCCCACCTTGTCTGGAGACAAAGAACGACGAATGAAAAGAAGAGACAAAGTGAGAGATGAAAGAGGAAAAGAGAAGACATGAAGCAGAGAAGAAATGCGTGTGTGTGTGAGTGTGTGTAGGATGGAGGGGGGGAAATGAGCAACACCACTGCGGCTGCTGATGTGAATCCTCCTCAGGTTAAAACAAGACAATAATTAGAAATGTACCGCGGGGTCACAGTGTGACTGCCGGGGTGTGTGCGACCGAGTGTGTGTCTTGTATGCAGCCTTTATTGCTTTCAGGAGAGAGTGTGTGTGTGTTTTGTGGGGTTGATATTGCAGTGCCCATTAAAAGGTGTCTCTGCTGCAGTCGGTGTACAGAGGCCTTGGGGTCTGTTTGCTACTACATCACACACACACACACACACACACACACACACACACACACACACCACACACACACACACGCATCAGAACATTTCTGCCTACGGTGTTAACATTGTCAGAGAGACCGCTGAACAGCAGGGCAAACCCATGCATGCACGCACTTGTGCAGACACACACACGTGCGCGCACGCACACAGCTGGTGAGGAAGGCAGCCAACTGGGCTCACTGCAGAACACAACACACTGTTTGGCACACGAGAAAATCTGAATTAGATCCTTTTTCCGCGTTCATTTCCAGTCTATCATTTCGTTCCATGGATTTTTGGGAAAATGACATCCTGAGACAGAGATCTTCTTTTGGCCTCTTGCCAGATTTGGAAAAGTTTGAATCCAGACCGATCACGAGCTATTGCTGCTCGCCGGCAGACGGAGATGAAAGGAGTAAAGAAACGCAGTGGGACGGCGGAAGGGTGCAGAGTGCGTGCTGACAAGGAGCGGGAGGGCCAGCCGAGCGTTCAGAGATCCACTATCCTTCATTTAACTCGGCCAAGATGCTAAAATCCCTGCCAGCTGTTCTCTAGCCAAACCTGACCTCTGACCCCGCAGCCTGAGGCCTCCACAGACCCACGCGATGACTGCTCAGGGTTTCGGAAAGCAGCTCCTCACCAAAACCCCACGAACAACACCAGCTCCAGGTTATGTGGTCACAGAGACTAAAGCTAACAGCTAATCCAACCAGAAAAAGCGACAGCTTACTCTGTGTTTGCTGATCAGCAAAGCTGCGATATGTAACTTATACTGAAATAGACATTTTTTAAACCATATTTAATGAAACCATCACTGTTGTGACAGAATGGTATGAGACAAATCTGTGAAATAAAAGACCCGCCAGGAGGCAGGTCTTATCGCTGTCAATCATGGAGATGTGCGCGCAACTCAGCAGAGCCAGTGTGAGCGTTAATACTAGTTAGCATAGCCACCCATGACGGTGGATAAACGGTTTACCTGTAACAGAGAGTTGTTTCTCTGCCGATAGCACATTTAGTAGCGTGTTACCAAGGCTGCAGTTTCTGATTAATCAATGAGGATGGCGTTGTGTTGACAAGGCAGAATCCAAAATAATGCCAAAGTCTCTGAGGCGTGGTGCAACAACAGAAACTAAAACTCCAAGGCGTTGCCTTATTTCAGTTATTTGACTGTCAGGATGAACAATTAAGATTTTCCTTTTATCACTGTGACTGATGACAACTTTTGATTTTCAGAAGGACCAAAGGAACAACACACCGAATGTCATCAGCAGAGAAATGATGAGACACGTGAAAACTAACTTTTTATTTGGCCAAGAGGGACAAAATGAAAAAGAAGAGGACAGGTCCGAATGCTGAGCCCTGAGGAATCCCACATAGCGGCTGGAGCCAAGACCAAAACTCAACACTCTTCTACATTATTTTGTAGAAGTCAGTTTTTTCATTTTTATTTTTTGTAATTTGTCAAACAGTCTTTATTGATCATGAGTGATTTGTAAAGGCAATAACAGGGAAAACCACTCAAAGGGCTTGAATACATTTCATAATCACAGTAACACCTCGCCGATGGTTTTCTATGATTTGTTCTGCCAACATTTCAAACCAACAAAGACCTCTCCCAACATCCATACGAACACTTTCACAATCCATCCTGATTGTTGTTTTCGTCCAACCCTCTGCTGACCCAACTTGCCTCTTCGCATTTCTTCCACTGAATCACCTTGAGACTTCTGCCACCCACTTCCTTCATGACCTCATTATGAGAAGCCCCCGGAAAAGCTGATGTAGTCACATACAGCACTTAGAAATATTCAGCCCAACGCTCCGCTCAGTTCATAAAGGGCAGGGTTATTATTGCGGCATCATGCCACGGTGCTACTCCCTCTTTTTCTGAACCTCTGACAAATCAATTGTTTAAAAACAAGAAAAAGAAGAACATTCACCCACAGTTTCTGCTACTGACTGCATCAAACTCTTACATAATTCCACTCTAGACTATTGAAGGTACCACTCTGCAGCAGATTTCTGTTAGCATTTTGGACCTGGTCAAGCTCAAAGTGCAGAGGTCACGCCCTCCTCCAGGTTGCATCTAGATATAATTGAACAAAACGGCAGTTTGTGGAAAACCTATCTATCTATCTATCTATCTATCTATCTATCTATCTATCTATCTATCTATCTATCTATCTATCTATCTATCTATCTATCTATCTATCTATCTATCTATCTATCTATCTGTCTGTCTGTCTGTCTGTCTGTCTGTCTGTCTGTCTGTCTGTCTGTCTGTCTGTCTGTCTGTCTGTCTGTCTGTCTGTCTGTCTGTCTGTCTGTCTGTCTGTCTGTCTGTCTGTCTGTCTGTCTGTCTGTCTGTCTGTCTGTCTGTCTGTCTGTCTGTCTGTCTGTCTGTCTGTCTGTCTGTCTGTCTGTCTGTCTGTCTGTCTGTCTGTTTTCCTTCTGGCTCCAAGACGAGCAGTTGCACCATCGTTTATCCACATTTTAAAAATCAAAAGTTGTTTTAAAAAACACAAGTTATAATTTTGCACCAAAGTTGAAGATTTTCTTCCAAAACTGGAGGCAGCACAAAGTGAAGTTTCTTCCTTACCAGGCGTGATTTCTATCACCGTGTCTTGTCTCTCTGGAGGGAAAAGGACTTTGGGAGGCTGAGTCGTCTGGAGCGCTGAGGGTAAAACAGAAAGAGACCAAGAGGACAGATGATTATTATCTGGTTTCAGACTAATGGGGTTTCAATGTTCACATTTTATGAAAATAACATTTTTCTTTTTATATTTTTTAAACCTTTAGCCACATCGAAACAAGACTTGGTTCACAAGGGCGATCTGACCAAGCACACGCCATGACAGACAAGTAGAGAGGAATAACATTTAATATATTTCTGATGTCTATTTCAGTTATAAATATGACAGTAAAGTGTTGTGACAATAATAATAATAACAACAGACTAGGCCTGGCACGATGCGTTTTGCTGGACGTTTTTCTTGCGATAAACAATAATATTGTTGCTTCGAGTCCATTTCAAGTAATGTGGTGGTAATGGAACAATAACGCAAGAACACATCCTCAAGATGAAAAAAAAATATGAAATTGGCAAGAAATTTGTCACGATGAACATTTGTCAGACACATTTGAACTATTCCTAGTTAAAATACGTTTAAGTTCGTTGGTTGCTGCAGGAAAAAATGTGAAAAAAGTTCAAGAGATATTAACACTTTTGCAAGAATCTTCATGTTTAAGAGTGAGAGGTGAACTTTTTCATCAGCTGATGAGCATATAGTGATGATAAATGTAAAGACAGAAATGGGCTGCGTTGTATTTTAGGTTCAGACGTTTTTTGCTCGACTCTTTCACATTTAGAGACAGCTGGCAGGAAGCAGCTTTGTCAGGCGCTGTCGTGTTTACAGCGCCTGACAAGGTTCAACTTTCAACCCAAGGACGTTCTGACATGTCGGATAGGATCAAATATATAACTTTAGAAAGGAAATAACTATGTTTAATAGAAATATCTGAATTCATGTCCGTGGGAAGCAACCAGATGCTGCAGTATGCCTCCACATGCAGGTCAGCAAGTTCAAACAATTGTTGCTCAAACGTAGGATTCTATTGTTTTATGAGGTTTTATGTCAGAGTTGAGAGCTCCCTCACTTCTTAAACCTTGACTTTCAGTCAAACGTCAGTTTCCCAGTTTTGGATGAAACAGCCTTTATGAGACTTGCATGATGTGACACGCAGGCACACGGAGGATTGCGTTGTTCTTCTTTTCCCTTCCATCCTCTTCCCAGGTTACCCCTCTCCATCTCTCTATCTTTCCATCGCTCCATCTCCCTGACAAGATTGATGGTTTCATTTGCATTCTGAAAGTTACGCTGTGCCCTTTTAAGATTAATGAGACAACCCTTCACCTATAGGCCTCCTCCGCTCTGTCCCCACCGCCCCCCACTGTCCCGGCACGCCACCTTCCGCCATGTTCTCCTTGCTTTGTCACCATTTCCTTTTGTTCCACATACACATTGCATTAAAACAGAACTTGAAATAAATTTTGATGACGTATTGTAACGTCAAATTTAAGTGTCTTGGTTTACTTGACATTCTTTTTATTTGTGCCTTTACAAAAGTAACGTAATTGCTACTCAACTTTTTTTTTTTCATGTCACACCATATGTTCAGTTGGGAACTTGAATACGTTTTACATATGTTACAATTATGAATGTTAACCCATATTATCATCTGAATATGATGGTGGGCAGCAAACACACGATAATGACAAGATGGGTGTTTACTTCTGGCTGCCAGCATCATAAAAACACGGCAGAGAGAATGTGAATCTTTCCTGTCATTTATTGGAGTTAAAAATTACAGCCTGCTGCTGGTTTGACTTCACATCCATGCTTGCATGCCAGCGGTTAAACTGCCGCTGGCATGCAAGCATAAATAAAGGTTCAGCAAGACCTGAAGTAAACAGTTTTAGGTGAGAAGATGACTTAATTGCGGTAGAAGTCTTATGAGCTCGTTCATGACTGGATGCTGATTGGTCGAGCTGCCGTCGCTGTGCTAAACTTTTGCAACAGGATTTATAAACGTCATTGTGTTGATTCAAAAAGACCAACCGGTGAAGAACTGACTTAGAGGCTTTTTGGTTCAAAATAACCAGCTGTAAACGGGACACTGACCAACTTTAAGTCCATGAAGGGGCTTATCAAAATAAAATGGAGGAAAACAAGAGACCGTTTGCTCACGAGGTTGCAGTTTCTGATTAATGGCGAAGCGTTTACACAGCAGAATCCAAAAATATCGCCAGCGTTTCTGTGGCTTGGTCAAGGCGTTGCCTCATTTCAGTTATTTGACTGTAACGACCAGTAATTAAGATTTCCGTTTTATCGCCGTGACTGACCACAACTTTTGATATTTGGAAGGACCGAAGGAACAATACAGCTGAATGTAATCAGCAGGGAAATAATGAGACACATGTGAAAATTTACTTCTTATTAGGCAAAGAGGGAAAATATGAAAAAAAGAAAGAGAACAGGTTCGAATGCTGAGCCCTGCAGCATCCCACATAGCAGCTGGAGCCAAGACTAAAACTCTACACTCTTAAAAAACTCTAATCTAGAGTTCATGCCATCATTAAAAATAATCATGATAATCCTTTTTCTGGCTGTTGTTTTGAAGCTCATCCACCATTTTGTTGTAGTTACTGCAAGATATTCACATTTGATAATTAAACTAAACTTTTGAGTTCTAAACGTTTTGATTGGCTGCTGTCCACACTTTCAATGACCTTTATGCAAATCGCAAGTCGTTAATGCAGATGGATTGATTTAAATAATTTATTAGTTTATGTTGGTCTACTGGCGGATTTTTACACAAACAAAATCCTAAAATAAAAAAATTGTTTAGGTAAAACAAATGGTTTCTCATCCATCATTCAGGTTTTTTCATGCATTTGAATTCTGTAGGAAGCAAAACCACCAACGCTCCAGAGTTACTCCAGTCATGTTGGTGTCTGTGTGTATTATTTCTGACTTGCTCTTTTTTAACTTTATCTTATGAGTTTTTCATTTGCTTTGCTGAACGTTTGAACATGTACTCCCTCTGGTTTTGGATGCCGTGCAGTCGCAAAGATCTTTTTTTTTTTTTTTTGGCGCTCTCGGTTCTTTTGCTTTCGGATGCGTAACCGTGACAACAAGGTTACCTTCTTTACAACTGGGAGCCCCCGGTTAGTATCTCAAAAGCTCAAATAATACCTGAACTATGACCTTAAATCCTGGAGGAAGACGCTTCGGATTGAACGCGAGACTGACTGCTGCCAGACATCCGTCCTTCCAACAGCATCTCCGTCCACGCCTGATGAGACGCAACATTAAATGTCTCTTTGTGACAAAGCAGTTTTTTTTTAAACTGAATTCAAAGATATTAAACTGATGGTGCAATAATACAAACTCCTTTTCTGACTATTTTGTTCAGTGGAGAAAGACATTTGTCTTTTAATATTAAAAAAGAAGATGAGGATCTCGGCCCCCGTGGCATAAAGTTTGATGTAATCATTTAAAATCTTTATGATTGAAAACACATTTTGACTTTGTAAACAATCATCCAGATTGTGTGCTTTCGATGACGTGCTTCTCCGTTGAACTTTTGAGTTTCTTGTGGAGTTTGACCTTTGCTGGTCCTTGTCCTTCCTCGCAGCCCTCCTCATCAGGTCAGTCTGAGCCGTAATCGCAGACGGTAAAAGTTTGTCCAAGCGCTTATCTCCCTCCGCAGTCATTACAGGGGATGGAAATCTGGCATTTTTGTGAACTTGAAGGTGCCTCCGAGTGCGAGAGCCAGCACGTCATCGGATATTAAAGAGCTGTGTGTGTGCGCGGAAAGTTTCGATTGTTGGAAAGTCATTTGAGTAACCCCCTCTGTGACTTAAGGAGACTTTGATGCTATCTGAATCATCCCGATCTGATCATTTCAAGCTCACCGGGTGCCGTGGGTAGATTAAAGCAAACCCTGTCTTATACTTTCCCCTACTGATCTAAGGAGAGTGGCTCTGTCAAACTATTTTTTTTTTATGTTATCCAAGTTGAAATCTTACTTCCATAGGAATATCTGTTGCATTTGTAGCATTTGCCCTCATTTAATCGGTGGGGATCTGCTTTTTTAACTTGCACATCTGTTAAGAAAGGTCTTTCGACTATTTTCAACCTTCCGGTTCATTTGACTACCAACACGCCGAAGTCAATCTGTCCATTTATTCCGACACATGCGCTGAGATTGTTCTGCTGTTAAGATAAAAGCAGTTTATGCCACAAAAATAGATGGCAAAACTAAATCTAAAACAACGGCCGTGTCATCGGGGTTGGAAAATAAAATCTCACCAAAAACAAAGAAAACAGTAAAAGTTTGACTCGACTGTCGGTTCAGAAAGACTCTGGAGCTCCAGGGATCTGCAGCTCACCGTCTACAGCAGATTTGCGAGCGATCAATTGGCTTAATGCGACCCTGGAGCAAATATTAAGGTGGAAGATGCATAATACGCGTTGTATCAAAGACACCATCTGCTGCGGAGCAGGACCACAGAGGAACGACGCCTCAGCGGCAGGAGAAGCACTCCCCCTCGCACTGTACATTAAGCTTGATGATTACCAGCATAAATTAAAAATGAAAGGCTATGAAGGGAGCAGAGAGGCCAACAAGCAACAACTTTTGATGAGTTTGGACGTGATGGGCGCCGAGAGTACACATTTACCTGACTAGAACTTGTAGACTGGTTTATGTGGGAGGGCTTTCCAAGGAAAGAGTCAAATCTTCAGCTTGACGAATAAATAAGGAGGCAATTTCAGTTGAGAAAAATGTTGCCCACATTAAAAATGCATGTTCAAGTGGGAAAATTGGGCAAAAATATATGTGTGAAGAAATCCAAACAGCCCCGGCTGTTCAGAGTTTGAAATGTAACTCAAAAGTCGTGACTTGTGTCGGGCGTGAACAAAAAGCAGCTGGAAAAAAAGTTACCAGCGTTTCCAGCTGACCCCGTGGTCAAACTGGAGTGGAGATGGAAAGGTTTAATGGTCTGGCGAGTTCAAATGCAGTGACAAAACACTAAAAACAGGAGGCACGTTTAAGACCTTCGACACCAGAAACAGTGTGGAGCAACCCGGTGTTTGTAGGGCTGGTAGT